TATATGGTATCATTAACATTGATGGTGTTATCTAGTTTGGATAATGAAAGTCTACAAGTAAGCAACCAAGCTCAGAGAGCACCCAGGGTCCCTCATTTCAATCCTGAGCTACAAGTATTATTTTTTATTAGTACCATATATGGTAGCCCTAGCCCTTAATCTTCAACACATAAACACAAACACACATGCAAACAACCTTATTTCCTAGAAGTATAGAACTTATCCTGTTCACATACTTGCAAGCTATTAGCAGGAGATAGTTAAAAGGTAGTCAGAAAGGAATCTGCTATCTTCTCAAGATAATCAGGTGCTATTTTAACCCACAAAAAAAGAGAAATCTAACTGGATAATCTACTACAAATTATACTAGATACAATCCGTAGAGCACAACATGACCATTAAACAGAACTTGACAATACAGCAAGGGGGGGGGGGGAATCTACAAATTCCATTGCTGGAATTTTATGGGAAATTATTTATATTCCCATTCATTTTCACCAATATTGGGGGAACCGCAAAGAATATAGATTTGATCCAATACATGCTTGGATTTCCAAAATCTTTTGACAAAATTCTTCTTCAGAAATACTTGATGAAGCTTACCAAAATGGAGAAGAAATTTTAAAAATTGTCTCACTTTGGAGGCTGTGGGGGGGAAACATATTTTCCTATCATAGTTTAGAATTAGGGTAAACTATTGGGATAGGTACAGAAGATTGAAGATATTAAAAAGTTTTCATGCTAAATGTATGGGATTTACTTCCTAAAATGTTAACGACTATTGGTTTGGACTGTTTATAAAATTCATAAAAGTTGTTGATGATTGACTGTTGAGGTTGGGAGACACAACAGAAGCAAATGGTTTCATGTTAAGATAAATAAGCACCTAATACTAATAGAAAATTATAGAAAAGTGATCAAAGAACTAATCTGTCCATAAAATTCCTCTGAGACCTAAGTTTATACAGTCTCATATACTCAGTTTGGCCTAGTAGTTAGGGCCCCAGGCTAAACCAGGAGATTGTGAATTCTAGTCCTGACTTACACCTTAAAGAAGGGGTATCAAACTGCTGGCCCATGGGCCGGATGCATCATGGCGAAACTGCGCCCACCCCATTCCGGCAATGGAAAAAAAGTTGTGATATGTTGCAAACCATCACGTGACATTGCGAGTTTGACACCCCTGCCTTAAAGCCTGCTGGAGTTTTTAGGACCAATCACTAGGAGATTTTGTGAGTTCTAGTCCCACCTTAGACAAAAAAGCCATCTGGATGACTTTGAGCCAGTCACTCACTCTCTCAGCCCAAACCCCTCACACAGTTGTTATTGTGGGAAAATAGAAGTAAAGAGTATTAAGTACATTTGCTGCCTTAAATTATTTATAAAAACAATAAAGGTAGGATAAAAATAAATACATAGAAGCCCTACATTATTATTTTTGATTACCAATGATCAGAACTCTATATATAATATTTTACAGCAATTTACTGAAATACTATGGATTTTTCTCAATTTAGAAAAACAACATACTGTGCACCCTTTGGAAAACTTTAAAATGGCTTGAATAAGAAAGCTGGGTGAATGATTTTGTGTCACTCATTCTCTCTCAGTCCAAACAACCTCATAGGTTTGTTGAGATATATATATATAAACAGAGCAAAATAAAATAACAATAATATTAAACCTGGAAATATTGCAGTAGAATTTGGGGACAAAGTCATTCCTATGTTTTTCTTATTTCTTCTCCACATCAGCTCTTCATTTTGCAGGGCTGAGATTCTTCATTACACAAAATATACAAATTCACATGTGATGCAATTAAAGCATAAATTCAAATCTGAACCCCACGCCTCCGTGGTTGCAAATAATAACAGAAGATCAATATGAGTGTCTTTCAAAAAGATCGCTTAGATATTGCTGGGATAACAAATTCAATCAACAAGCAAAACAAACAAAGAAACAAAATCAGTAATGATGCTTCCTTAGTAGCACAGAATGTGATTTGTGATTTTAATATGGAGCAATTATTTTGGTAGAAGAGAACCGAGAACTACCACCTAGTCAGTAGAATTAAAGGAAAATCCACAAGTGTAATTAGGATCAGTTAAGACAGACAAGAAAATTGGTAAAAGAGACAGTAAGAAGCATGCAGAAAATACTCATTTTTTTGTTTTCTATGAAAATGGCAGTGGAGAATCTTTTGTATTAGAACTAGAATCAAGCTTCCCACAGTCTTTACTATAATTAACAGGGGTAGGTTAAAAAAAAATCAAAATGGCAGCCAAAGTAATACTTTAAGCCCCTCCCCTAAAAAAAGGCTTGGCTTTAATTGTGTGGTTATGGCCACCATCTTCATTTTTTGACCCATCTTAAAAAATTTTACTCCTCTCCCTGTAAATACATTGTCAAGAGATTATTTAAACTGCTGTTAGGTGTTTTGCTTCAGACAATGAAAAATATTTTTCAGAGTTTTTGTTTGTCCTTGCCAGCTACAGCCTAAAAAAGCTTAAATCACAACCAATCTTTCAACCATCATGAGATTCTTAAAAAAAAAACAAAAAAATTGCACGTCACGTAAAATGCACTGTCTCTAAAAAGAGAAGAATCAACAGAATCTGTGAGCTGAGGCTTAAATGCCAAATGGAATTACTGTCTTCTAGAACATTTGTCTCCAAAGGTCTGTGCTAAATCATGCCCAAAATATTCCATGCAAAGAATTGCTTAGTGCATAACAGCTGGCTTCAGGAGATCTGCGGCCAGACAGAAAAACAGATGTGAACAAACGTGTCTGGTCTGATCCCAGAAGGAGAGCCCAGGGGAGAGAAAAAAGAAGACATTAAACAGCCAATTTGGTCTAGTGGTAAAGGCACAAGGCTAGAAACTGGGAGATTGTGAGTTTTAGTTGCACCTTAGTCAGGAAAGCGAATTTGGTGACCTTGGACATGAGTTCTAGTTTCACCCTAGACCTGAAAGCCCAGCTAAGCGATTTTGTGCCAATCCCCAGGAAATTGTGAGTTCTGCCTTAGACATGACAGCTGGCCAGGTGACTTTCAGCTAGCCTCTCTCTCAGCCCAACTCATCTCATGGAGTTATTAAAGGGAAAACAGGAGGAAGAAATATTAGATAAGCTTGCCACCTTAAGTTGCTTATAACAAATTATAAATAAATAAATAAAAAGTAGCAGCTAAGGGGAGGAAAGTGTGGCACTGGAAAACTGGAGGTCTGGGCAGGATGATGGGATCTGCCTCAATGGCCAAGAAGATACAGAGAAATAAAGAGTTGAGAAGATGGGAAATGGCAGGATACGTTTCATCGGGAGACATAGTGATGGAAGAGGCAGTGAAGTTCACCAGCACTAACCTACTCACTCCATTGAGATTTGTTTCTCCCAAACCTTAAACAACCAAACATATAGGGAAAGGCTGCTGGAATTGGGTATGTCTAGTTTAACGAAGAGAAGGACGAGGGGGGACATGGTAGCAGTGTTCCAATATCTCAGGGGCTCCCACAAAGAAGAGGGAGTCAAGCTATTTTCCAAAGCGCCTGAAGGCAGGACAAGAAGCAACGGATGGAAACTAATCAAGGAGAGAAGCAACCTAGAACTAAGGAGAAACTTCCTGACAATTAGAACAATTAACCAATGGAACAACCTGCCTCCAGAAGCGGTGAATGCTCCAACACTGGAGGTTTTTAAGAAGAGACTGGACAGCCATTTGTCCGAAATGGTGTAGGGTTTCCTGCCTGAGCAGGGGGTTGGACTAGATGACCTCCAAGGTCACTTCTATCATCATCATCATCATCATCATCATCATTAAGCATTCTGGCTCTCAGTTCTTCCCAACTGTGAAGTGAAACAGTTTGTCACAACCTTTGGAATTTGATGGCTTGTTTCTGGTTTGAAACAAAACATTTTTCCCATTCCATGCACCGCCTGCTTGTGCAGTACCAGTCAATTATAAACAATTGGTTATAAAACATGGAGGAATTTCTTGTTATGGGCTTGTCTTTCATCAATATTCTGATTTATGTTTTACAAGCCTGTGAGACAAAAATGTTAAAAACTCATTTTATTAAGTTTATAGGTGTGTTTAGGATGCAACAATCTTCAAAGTTGCATTGGAAACTTAAGGAAAGCAAACCAGATTTTTTTTCTATCTTCATACAGAACAAACAAGAGATTTTCCTACACTAAAACTATTTTACATGACATGGTGATCATTCACTTTTAGATACCGAATCATCTTCCATTTTTTTAAGATTTCAGCAGGTGGCAGCACCTAGCTAGCCTTTGCTCAATCCAAAAAATTAATTAAGAGTTATATTGGAATTAATATGAATGGGAGACCACAAGGACATTTCAGGGATAGAGATTAGGCTTGGAACATGAAAAAAGTATATCAGAAAACGGCAAAGGGAAACCAATTCCACACTGCTGAAAAAAAAATGCTTGAATAACCACTGAAAAATTGTGTTTCTGCAGGTTGTTTGTCTTTTTTTTAAACAAACTGTATCTGTATTTTTATATTGTTTTAATAACAGAAGTAGCTTTAGTGAAATCATATATTGGATCAAACACGGGGTGTGCATTTCTTATGAACAAATAAATAAAATATTATTTTTCACATTTTCTGAATCTGGTCAAACTGCCTGTGTGTGTGCATAGGTGTGTACATGCCTGTGTATGTCTGTATGGATATGAGTTGCGTGCATGTGATTTTAAGTATACGTCTGGTTATATGGTGCAATCTTGTTTCTTAAGAGTTCTGGTCCAAAAGAAACTCCAGTGTTAGCTCTGTTGAACAGCATGCAGAGATGGTTATATTAGTAAACCACAAAGGAGGAAGGAAGGAAGGAAGGAAGGAAGGAAGGAAGGAAGGAAGGAAGGAAGGAAGGAAGGAAGGAAGGAAGGAAGGAAGGAAGGAAGGAAGGAAGGAAGGAAGGAAGGAAGGAAGGAAGGAAGGAAGGAAGGAAGGAAGGAAGGAAGGAAGGGAGAAACTTACATTAGTGATAGTGTTCAGAGCAGTATCTGCACCAATGCTGAAATCAGAACCAGGTACATTGTTGGATACGGTTGCAGGAACCATAACCATGGGGATACAGAACGCTTCATATTTCTCCCGGGCTGAAGAAAGCTCCAAGAGTCCCAGGTATGCCTGATGGTCACATCCAGCAATTATGTAAAATTAAACGGAAGAAAAACAAAACTTAGATTGCAGCAACAGATAATGCAATGCAGGTGGGGATTTACAGCCAGGCTGTCTCTCTATAGACACACACAGATGCTGGTGACAGATGGTACAGTATTGGATCTCTTTCAGGGAATCAGAGATGATTTGAAAGAGGGATCACAGCTCATGAGTATAAGTTATCCTGCCTTTTATCTCTGTTAATCAGTCTTTTGGCACTTTTTCAAAACTTGGTTTGACTTCAGGCAGACGTTCCTTGTAAAAAGGAAAACAGTGTGCCTGCACCATGAGAAGGGATGCCTTTTTCAATCTTTTTCCCATCTCTTAATATTTACCATCCATCTACATTAGAGAGTCACCAGGAAAACCTCAGCAATATATAAAGAATGATATATGTTACAATATTTAACAAAAAAAAAACCAAGCAAACGCAAACAACTTAAAAACTTTTAGGATAAATACTAAATATTTCTTCAAGTTCACTTGCAGAATATATAATATAATAGTAGAGAAAAAGTAAATCTTATTCTCTCTTATTAGCTACATTTATATACTGTACATTAGTTTAAACTATGAACAATGCCAAATTACCAGCAAGGATTTAGAAGATGGGGGGAAACAAAATTATATACCTCAAAGCCACCAATGACAAGGAGGGCATTGATGTTATGAGCACGCATGTGTTCTGCAATCTTCTCCAAATACTTTCCAGGGAGTGTACTAAAATACATTTTTAAAATAACACAATCAGGATTGTATGTGCAGTAAAATTAAATATACATTTAATTTCTCATCTCATTTAATTGTGCTCACCTGGGGCACAGATATACATTGCAAAGGATATAACTGGTTTTAAAATTATTCTAAAATGTTTTTGTTTTAACTGTAGTATATTTTTTTTAAATATACACCCACTCATGAATTGAGATGGGCAGCTACAGAAAGGAAGGAAGGGAGAGAGGGAGGGAGGGAGGGAGGGAGGGAAGAAGGAAGGAAGGAAGGAAGGAAGGGCCAGATTTACACTTACATTTCCCTTTAATCAGCTAGTGATTAAATCTGTTCTGTACAACTGTATGGTAATTTCAGGGTAGGTGCACTATTGCCTCTATATGATTTCTAGATAGATAATCTATATAAATAAAAATGTAAATGTTCATTTGTTCAAAATTTTAAATCTCTGAAAGTTCTTCACTGATTGCTTTGAAATTTTGATACAACGTTGCATTCGAATACGTGCCTGTTTTTATATACCTACATTATATAGATGTCACACCTGTGACAGGTAAAAACATGATTTTTTAAAAAAACAGCACCATCAGTTGGACATAAAAGCAACACACGCTTTTACCAGACTGAGCCACAGCTAGTATATACAGCTAGTTGAATTACCGTTTGGTGCCAAGTATTGACCCTCCTTGGCCAGTCCAACCTCCAACATCTCCCCACTTGATTTCTTTAATCTGTAAGTCAGAACCACAAAAAGATGGATTGATTAAATGATGTTTATATTACTGACATAACTTAAGATATAAGTGTTTCTACAAAAATCAAACTTAAGCATAGAAGCTATGTCATTTGAGCCAAAGATGTCATGAAGTGCGATGTAAATCCATCATGATGCATTTACCATGGTTTGCCTCAAATGCAACTCTTAATTTGTTCATTGTACAAGTATATATACAATTTCCAGTACATACTAAACTCCTCTGGCCAAACATCAAATCTAAAAAATCCTTAACTCAGTGACAGCTTAAGCAAAGCACAAGGGGGGGGGGAAGGGTTATAAAGCTGCTTAGTTTATGGGATTCTAAACCAAACAGTAACTTTTAATTAAATTGGAGCAAGCGGAAAAGCTAAGAAGTCCAGATCAATTGCACAAAAGCTTATATGCCTTTACCCTGAAAAACAGAGCAAAATTGAGACAAATTGGACAGTCTGGTGAGGGACTCTGCCACTTTTTCAGGTAACTTGAAGTAGTTTGGTTAAGAACAAAACATGCCAACAGGAATGCTTTTCAGATTAGCTGGAATTAAAAAACTAGAATCTTTTAAGTTTCCTGAACATCAATCACCATTTGTGCCCAAAATAAGATTGGGCCAGAAATCTCAAGGACTTTGAGATTAAATCCTGCAGTTCTCGTAATTGTCACAATGTAATAAAGGGATGGAGAAAAGTTACAATGAAACAACTAAACCACTATAATAGTTAACTGTCTGGGTTGGCATTCGGCTTTCTTTTAAACTGAAGTTATTTTAAGGCTTTGTAAATCTGTTGGAGCAGATGTCTTAGGACAGAATCCGCCCTCTGCATTTCATGTCATAAACACCTTCTCAAAGGAAAATACTAAAACCCAACTTGACAACAGATCCTGTGATACAACTGGCCTTTGTCTGTTGCTACTCAGCTGGAATTCTTATCTCCACGTAATGCAATCACGCTTCACTGTTCTTGTAAAATCAAGATCACGCGGCAGCTGAACAATATACAGAATCTGATTATAAAGATTTCTCACGAAGCACTCGGGAAGCAAATGCTTCTTCAGAAATAAGGGAAAACATAAAATTAGGATAGAATTATATAAAAACTAAATGAAAATGGCTAAATCCCTTTACAGTATCTTCCAACCTCATTGTTCTTATGTTGCAGCCTTTCCCAACTTGAGGTTTTCCATGATGCAATGGACCGCAGTTTTCCAACCCATGTATGTTAAAACCCAGAACATATGGAGGGGAAAAGGTAATAAAGGCCATAAAATATCAATCTCCAGAAAGTATTGTTACGTTCTCTTAAGGTATCAGTTATGTCCAATTAAGAATACTGCTATTTCTCGCTCTTCTGCAGAGGGACATTAGTTATTATAGAATAGAATAGAATAGAATAGAATAGAATAGAATAGAATAGAATAGAATAGAATAGAATGGAGTGGAGTGGAACAGAACAGAACAGAACAGAATAGAATAGGACCTTGAAGATATTCTAGTCCAACCCCCTGCTCAAGCAGGAGAACCTATACTATTTCAGACAAGTGACTGTTTTAGTCTCTTCTTAAAAACCTCCAATGATGGATCACCCATGATTTCTGAAGGCAAGCTGTTCCACTGGTTAATTGTCCTCACTGTTAGGAAGTTTCTCCTTAATTCCAGGCTGCTTCTCTCTTTGGCCAGGATTTTGGTAGGATTATAATGATAACTCTTATGATTTCTACCTAAAAGGTAAAATGAAGGCTTCCTTGACTGCTCAAATCCTTATGGCTATGTAGATATAGCCATCCGGTTTTCCTGGCAACAATATGGAAATGTCATTGCTACCTTCTCCAAAACATGGCTAGACCAATTCATGCAGCTCATGGAGATCAGTCGCTATTAACCTTGATGGCAGCATGACTCTCTCTAGAGCAGTGTTTCTCAACCTTGACAAATTTAAGGCATGTGGACTTCAACTCCCAGAATTCCACAGCCAGCTGTGGAATTCTGGGAGTTGAAGTCCACATGCCTTAAAATTGTCAAGGTTGAGAAACACTGCTCTAGAGGTCTTCTGCTAGGAGACTAGTAGGGTTCTTTAGACAGTTGGTCGGTCGCTGGCCTCGATGGGCCAGGGGGGTCCAATCCAGAAGACACTGTTTATGTTCCTATGAGTTTTCATCTATCTTTCAACCCTGGGATAGCCTGAGGAAGGGGGTTTACCATCCAAGTTCTAATGTAGCACCTGAACCTAGGCAAGGCAAGGCTGCTCTTCCTGTTGAGACTATTTCCATAAAATTGTGACAACAGACAAACTTAGGAAATACTGACCTGCCCTCTAGAAAAGCCTTCAAAGCCATCAGTAACAGCTAACATTTTGTGTCCTTCAGTGATTCCAAGTCTCACTGCAGAACGGACAGCAGCATTCATCCCAGCCGCTGGAGCACCCACATTTAGGATAGCGACAGTAAAATTGCTCTGCAGAAGAAGTGACAAGGTGGTTTGGAATACAAAAGAACACATAAGGCACATCAGGATGACTTTAGAATAAAAAAATGAATTCAGACATTTTAAACAATTCCTGATGTAAGCAATTAAAAGCAGCCTCCCAATTTTAGAACCCGTGTTTTTTTGAAAATTAGAGTTGATATAATAATCCCATTACCACTACATTAATTTCTGTTTGAAGAAGGCTCTAACTACCTAAACTTTATTTTAGAAAACCAGGAAAACATGCAATGTAACACAATTGATTTGAATGCCAGTGTTGATTTTAATCTAGCTAATACACACATACAAAAGAAGAAATACATTTTCTTAAAATGAAATAAATAAATATCAAAAGCATGGCTGGCTCAGGAATTCTGGGAACTGAAGTCCATGAGTCATAAAAGAGCCAAGATTATCTACCTCTGTTCTAAACTGTGCTAAACTTATTTCTTATCTGTGGCAGACCATGGATGTCAAAGTTCAAATACCCAATGAAGTCCCTATGTTCATATACAAAATTAATTCATCTGATCCATCAGTCAGACAACTGTATCACGGAAATCTAATTTTTATGTATATCCCTGCCTTCTTAATATTCTTAATCCTCAAAGATATATTTTTAAATGTAAAGTATTAATTAGCTATGATACAAATCTACGAAGTTCCAAAAAATAAGGTGATCTCTAAATACATGTTTTAAAAGCTCCAGACACAACCAGATAAAAAAATTAGCAAGTTAAGTCAGTTTCAGCAATACTCAAATTTTGATTCAGTGGACTTTCTTAAATATGGAAAGGTATACCCCAAACCTAAAACTAGTCTATCAAAACAATGTTTTGCTGTAATTTTTCCAAACTCTTAATCTGTTTCCTTTTCTGACATAATTGAAAATGATTAGCAAGCAAACGAAAATGAGAAATAACACAAAAAACGCAAGGACTTTATGAAGTGTACCTTAGGTAGTTCGTCTTCTGGCTTTTTGTTAGACAGGAGCTTGTAGGTATTCAAGTTGTTGGTAAAACTCCTATAAAAACAATTCCCATTCTTTTCATAACATTACTGGAAAACATAGTGGCACTACATTGTTATGACAAAATAAAAGAGTTCCTTGATATAGATCTGCTAAGTAAATAAGTAGATAGTTAAACAAACAATGAGCAAATATAATAATTAGTCTGTTTTATTTTTTTATATTTTTGCCATCCTTCCTCAGCCTAATATTCTACAAATGGACTGAGCCTCAAAATGATGTCCCTCTTCCAGAAGACTGCTATTTCTGCAGGTGATAAATGCCATCATGTAATTTCCCATGACTTTTTTTTTAAAAAATAATATTTATATTCACATGTTGTAATAGGTTAATACAAAGTAAATGAAATGTCCCAAATCTTATGTTGCAAAACACATAACTCTTGTGAAATTTTGCCTGTCTCATCTTGTAGCCAGCTATTTTTTATTCAAAAAAAAAAACTATAAGAAAAAGTATCCCTTTGCAATAAAACTGGGAGGTGGGGATAGAGAGAACTTTTTATCTTGTATAGATTTTTAGAACAGTAACCTGCCCCCATGGCACAGAGCCATTGACAGCAAGAATTATAACATTTTGAAACCTGGCAATAGCAATTTCACATCCCATACTTTAAAAAAAACCAAAAACCTCTAGATATCCTTAGTGTATGTGAGCTTCATGGTACCAATCTGGAGACATTTCAGACTCCTTTAAGTCTTACCAACACATACACATTTGGGAAAAAATCCAGATTCACTAATACTGTATACTTATGCTTCAGAATATACTTCTTTCTTTTTTTCCCCAAAGCAATTTCCACTGCTTTAACTAGTGGCATTTCAAAAGCAATAGCATAGCACTTAGACTTATAAACCACTTCATAGTGCTTTGACAGCCCTCTCTAAGTGGTTTACAGAGTCAACATATTGCCCCCAACAGTCTGGGTCTTCATTTTACTGACCTCGGAAGGATGGAAGACTGAGTCAACCTTGAGCCAGTGAGAACTGAACTGCCAAACTGCTGGTAGTCAGCAGAATTATCCTGCATTATTGCATTCTAACCACTATGCCACCATGGCTCATAAAATCATGGTTTCTCCATTATCTCCTCGTTTAGGCGCAATTCAAGACCTAAGGTTTTACCTCAGTTGAGTAGAATTTTGCCCCACATGGATAGAACTGAGAAATTATTAGGAAGATAAACTATTTTTCCCATGATTACCTACAAGCAGAAGCTTTTGATATAATTATAATTAGTATTATCTTCCCAAGATGGTGGCGCCTTGCTTGGCTGCGCCTGCTTCAGCTCTCAAAAGTATCTTATCTACAATTAACCATCGCTGTTCAATGGAAACCAACCCAACAATTTCTTCCAGAAGATGAAAAAATAATAATGTTGCACCTTCCGCGGAGTTCTACTGCATCTTTGAATCTTCTTTCATCCATAGCTTTCTGAACATCTTGAGTCTTTGGAATTAGGGAAAACAAAACAAATCATATGTAAGGCAAGAATAATGTCTCTCAAAGCAAGCTCCGAGAGTAGAAAGTGGATGGGCTAACATTGCAGTTCCACAAATGGGATTATGTAATTGAATTTTTAATGATTTTGATGGAATTAGAATGAAATTTTATATACATTTATCCCAGAGCAAAAACCCCTTATAATAATCAGTCCTATTCAAGGCTATACCTAATATTATAGACATATTACCACAACGGAGGCCAAAATTTCAGTTGCTAAGTGAGGTGTTTGTTAAGTGGCTTTTCCTGCCACAGTTGTTAAGTGAATCTCTGAAGTCATTAAGTTAGTATCACAATTGTTAAGTGAATCTGGTTTTCCCACTGACTTTACTTATCAGAAGGTCACAAAAAGTGATCACACGTCCCCAGGACACTGCAACCATCATAAATAAGAACCAGTTACCAAGCATCCAGATCTTTATCATATGACCATGGGCTGATGTAACAGTTGTAAATGTGAAAAAAAATGTGAAAAGTCAGTTTTCCAATGTCATTGTAAGTTTGAATGGTCACCAAACAAATGGTTATAAGTTGAGGACTACCTGTAATAAAAGTGTTGTCTTATTAGCAACCTAGATGGTCTTACACATGTAGCTGTTAATTTGACTCATTCTTTTGTGAATTATTTTGACAAACAGCCATGGCGCAATATTTTTGTAAATTGGGATTGATATTTAAGTAGAAAAACAAACAAGAAAGGCAGATTCTCTGAAAGTATGTATTAATATATTTCATCCTAAGGAGTGCTTCTGTGTAGTTTTACTGTGGAAGCTTGGAGCACCAAGAAGGATTTCAGCCATTCTATATTCCCATGATGTAATACGTGCTCATGAGAGTGTACACATACTATGGTATGCCAAAACAAACAGGAAGGACAAGGCCTAAGATAAACAAATTCCTTTATCAAAGTCCTCTGGGTTATCACAATCCAACACCCCAGTTTGCTATTAAACTCCCAGCAGCCATTTGACCCAATTATTCCTACTGTAAGACTGACTGGAATTGATTGTCCACAGTGCTGATAAGCATTTTTTCTTATGTCACTGCAAGTGTTCCAGCTGACAATAGACTATTGATTGCTAGATCATACTAGCAAATGAATGCAGCCACTCACTGCATTTGAAAACTCACCATTTGAACACACTCCATTAAAGGCAGACGGACAGCCTGGTTCCCGGATAAGGTCACCACACAAGCAGGTGTTTCAGGGGTGGCTTCCAGAAGAGCAAGGACAGCCTCTACTCCCATACGGCTGGCCTGTTAAAAAAGCAAACATGGTTGGTTCTTTTACGGGCATTAGAACACCTAGTAGTACAGTGATGGCGAACCTTTTAGAGACCAAGTGCCCCAAAACCGCCCTGCCCCCTCGCTCCGCCTCCCCCCACAGGGCCACTCACCACAGATCTCCCAGGTGGCTTTGCAGCGCCATGGCGGCCACGCCCTCCACCTGAACCCCATAGCATCATCTGCACATGATGGGGCACGAGGGCCCCTGCTGCCCGGCTGCCATTTCCTTGGCTGCACTGCTCCGCGTGGGCCGCACCTGGAGGAGACTTTCCTCCAGGCAGGCTGCTGGTGAGGAGGGGGTTGCGGGAGGAGTCAGGGCTGGGGCAACGACTTGCGTGCCCACAGAGAGGGCTCCGAGTGCCACCTCTGGCATGTGTGCCATAGGTTCGCCACCACTGTAGTAGTAGATGGTTTTGAAGCATGCCAATGGTCCCCTGTGAAACCCACCTTAAAAAGTATCAGTTCTATAAAATTAAAAAGAGAGGGAGATCAATTATAATATTATCAGCACAGAATCTAGTGGGTCTTTAAAGGCTCGGAAACCTTCAAGAGAACAAAGTATTTGCTTTATGATACTAGAGTTGACTAAGTGCTTGTTTATTTACATTAAGTATGTCTTTTAAAGAAACTAGATTTGAACAAGGATGATATCTAGCATCTTCTGTCTATTCCAAGTATTGCCCTGTTTTGTAGCTCATCCAATTTCTTGAAGCTCTCAGTCTTACCCAACTATGGGGATTCACTCTGATTTTCTAGGTCATTGTATGGGCCTCTATGTACACATATTAGAACCAAATAAAGATGGAAGCTAAGCAACCCCAAATTGCAACCAATCCCTCTACTTTAGGCTCTGCCTCTACCTCTCTTTCCTTGTGACTTCTTTTGTGAATGAACCACTTCTGGATCACTTTAGACTGACCATTCTGGTGTAATGACTAAAAAAATCTGAATAGATTTGAAAGTATAATTTGCCTAAGAGAGTTTTTACTATTCCCATTTCCTTTACTTCAGTTTAAATTGAGCACCTTTAACTTTTGTAGGATAATTATCTAAATATAGAAATTGGAAAGACTTACCATAGTTTTATTTCTCCAAAAGAACACAATTTCCCCAGTTTTATATATTAAAGGGAAGTAGAAATTAAAATATTTATCTACATTGTTTTTAGGGATGGTTTTTCCCCTCTGTTTTTATTATTTTTTTAATAATTATAAATAATAATGGAGATTTTGCTATTAAGTACAAAGGAAGGAAGGAAGGAAGGAAGGAAGGAAGGAAGGAAGGAAGGAAGGAAGGAAGGAAGGAAGGAAGGAAGGAAGGAAGGAGGGGAGGGAGGGAGGGAGGGAGGGAGGGAAGAAGAAAGAATGGAGGAGGAAGAAGGGAGGAAGAAAGGAAAGAAGGACAAAGGAAGGAAGGAAGGGAAGGAGGGAGGGAAGGAGGAAGAAGAAGAAGAAGAAGAAGAAGAAGAAGAAGAAGAAGAAGAAGAAGAAGAAGAAGAAGAAGAAGAAGAAGAAGAAGAAGAAGAAGAAGAAGAAGAAGAAGGGGAGGGGGAGGGGGAGGAGGAGGAGGAGGAGGAGGAGGGAGAAGGGAGAAGGGAGAGGGGAGGGAGAAAGGAAGGAGCTACCTGTATAAAAAGTATGTGGTAGCTCAAAACCAGAGCACTCTTTTTTCAAAAGTCTTTGGGAATGAGCACTTCTATGCCCCAAGGCTTCATACAACTCACCAACTCTGGGAGGGAGGGAGGGAGGGAGGGAGGGAGGACCTTTCCAACTTTGTCTAGCGACTGCATGGCTGAATAGAAATTTAACCATATGACCTAAGTTCAAACATTTTTCCATTAATTCCTTCCATGGCTCAAAGGATAGAACAAGGAAGAAAAATTAAGTAATGCCATCTAAAACTAGGTTGTGGTGGAAAGGCTATTCTTCTTCGGATACTCAGAAACAAATTGGTTAACTTCACTCACCAAAATCCGATCAAAAGCAGAGGGTGTGCCTCCTCGTTGCACATGGCCAAGAATGGTTACCCGTGTGTCAAACCCCAACCGCTTCACTACAAGCTGCAAAAGAAGACCAAAGGTGAACCCAAAGAAGAAGATGGATTAGGAGCTGCAGCAAGTGTGCAGATATTTTCCTTACATGAGCACTGAGTAGAAGATCTAATGTAAGCCTTGAAAAATGCCTCTCGCAAATTCAGTTCTAATTCTAATTCTTTCACCATCAAATTTAAATCTCTGGGCCTCTTCTCTGTTAGGGAATGCCCTCTGATAGGACCCCAGAAGTGGACTTTTTCAGTTGCAGCAATCTGGAACCCCAATCCACTCCCTTCCAAAGATCCAGCTATTCCAACTGTACTAGCATTCTGAAAAGCCTTACACACATGGCTATTGACCCATGTGTGGGAATCAGGGAACTAAGGGGAGCCCATGGGATTGTTGATAGGATTGTAATTATTGTTCTTATCAAAGTTCCAAAGTTCTCCAAAATGGTCAATGTTGATCAGGGTTGATGGGACCAATCAAGCTATCATTGCTGTTACGTATATTCTATTAATTAAATAATATTTATTAAATTATTTGCATATTATAAACATTTGGGGGTTGATGAAGAATCTGGAACTTTGTAAAGGGTTAAATGAGCTGAAAAGTTTTTTGGGGGTGTCTCTGCTCTATATGTACATTATTTGTTGCTTTTTTGTTGATTTTTAAATTTCTCTCATGACTCAAAGTCGCTACTTGAGAAACAAGTGGTGACATAAACTGAAATAATGATAAATAAATAAGCTGTCCAAACTAGTTTACATCCTTTTTGTAGCAGTTCTGATTTGCTTATGGCTGCAGTCCACAAATTCAGTGAAAACGTTTGTTTTGACAAGAGTTGCTGATAGCTGTCATGTTTGTAAAACATCAGATCAATTTTGTGTAATGAGCTTTTAATCAGATGTTTATTAACAAACCACAAAAAGGAAACAAATTGAGAATGATGTGTTTAAAGCAACAAAAAGATTGAAATACTTTCCAGGCAGATTTTAATGTTGCTGACAAAAAAGGAAAAACAGAGGGAGTCAAGCATGGAACAACTGAAACTGAACCATGCTGCATTAAAAATAAAATAAGGGCAAATTACACAATATTTCAATCATAACCTTTAAAGAATGTATGGTAAAAGGAATTTCCATTAATGTCCAATTAAGAAAGGAAAGAAAAGGATCCTACATCAATTCCTGTTAAATATATTTTGAACCAACTGTAGCCTTGCCTTTTAAAATGTTTTTTTTTTTTTTTTAAGTAAAGCGTAGTGACTTCTGCCAAAGAAAAGAGGAAGGTTATAGAACTGGGTATCTAATCTGTGCAGATGGCCATATTTCATCAAAGGCTGAATTTTCTAAGAGTTGGTAATTTCACTACCTGGATAAATACAAATGACCATGAATCAAGTGGCAATTTGCTACTGTAAAAACTGAGGCATTATCTGTCTTGATTTGTGTTTTTATATCAACACAGTAGTAGAACCAAAGTTTATTCATTTATTTTATTTCTTTATATCATAAATTTAGAAACCATCCATCTCATTCAGAGTGACTCATCCCACATCTTGATCACAAAAAAGCTTTAAGGACCAAAAGTGTTCCCCAGGCTTCCAACAAAAAACAGACAAAACAAGGGCAGTTTTTAGAAAGCTGGCACTCTTTTCAACTGACTATCACATGTGAAACATGCTTGAAATTGAAATGGGATTAAGATCTCTACCAAGTACTGCTTTGAGCAGACTGACACAGTGACATTTCCCACATAGCAGACAGGGGAACCTGCACTAGAACTCAAATTAAAGCATCTGCAGAATCAAGCTTTATCAATATTGCTGAACATTCTACACAGTAGATATTTGTTCAATATGTATTATTTAGTTTAACACAGAAGCTAATAACATGAAAGCAAATTTTCTATAGTATGTATGTATGTATGTATGTATGTATGTATGTATGTATGTATGGTTTTCAAAGGCAATCTTGATTGTAACAGTACTTAACAAAGACTGCATTTTAATTACAGGATTCAACATTCAGCAGATGTCATGATGGACAGCTATATACTTACATCCTTAACTTGTTCAGAAGTGATAGCCTTGTTGAAGGAATCAATTGCTCCTTCTGACACAATTATAATATTCAACCTTTTCTTTCGGGCACGGTTCTAGGATGAAAGAAATTTAAGACAGATCAGTAAAGCTACAGAAGCTGGAATAAACAGTGGAAGACTGAATTCTGAACATAGCTAGAAAACCTTTTATTTACTGCATGAGATACAAATATTCTAAATATGCATATAAGGAATTTTGGGTCAGGAATTCTGGGAATTGAAGTCCACAAGTCATAAAAGGGCCATCATCCCCTACCCTAGTTTAGACTTTGTTGGAATTCAAGGCCCACACAGACCAAGGCTGGACATTCTGGGAACTGTAGTGAACCCATTCATAGTCACAATTCCTGAAGATTGTTGAGACTTCTAGCCTTCAACAAGGCTATCATGATAAAGTTGAGCATAAGAATTAAGGCAGACAACTCTCCTGAGATAACAAGTTGAAAGAGAACAGCCCATAGTTTTCAGAAATAAATTCTGCCATTAAAATGAATTTTTGATGCCTTAGTTTGGGGGGAAAGATGTCAACAAGCCCAGTGACATTTTTGTGCATCTATGCTATTTGAGCAAACCAACTTCCTGCTTTCAACAGTAACTTAATTTAACCATATGGTTTTGCAAGCTGCCTAGAGCCATTAAGGGAATGGCCACATTTTCTTAGTTAAAAATAATTGGACTGCAGCATGCAGCATGGGGCTACCCTCCATTATAGTGCTCCATTTGTAGAAAAGAAACACAAGAAAGATAATCTAAGAATGCCAAATGGAACAGCTCTCACAGGTCATGTTGTCCATTTTGGTACAGTTACTGTTTAGAGCAGGGGTAGGCAACCTTGGCTCTAGAGACTGGAAATTTGGGTTGTTTGTGCTCAGTTTTCCCCAGGGAGCTGATAATCTCCTAAGGAAGCCCAAAGCTGAGAAGGATTACCTCAGAAAGCCTAGCACACATATGATCTTCCCATCCTTCCTCAGGTGGATATTCAGGGATAAATACATAGTCTGCACCGCAGGCTAAAGCACTAACAAGTGCCAGATACCTAGGGCAAAGAAGAAATTCCCAATCAATATCTGAAGTGTGCACCACAACAATGTTTTACTAAAAATGGTTTATCTTGCTGATACATACCCACAGTGTCTTCCCATCACTTCTAGGACGAAGGTCCTCTGATGGCTACAGAAATCACAACATAGATCAACATCAAAACAAACAGTAAGATACTATCCAAATGTACAAAATTTGAGTTTGGCATTAAGTGGATGACTCCTATGCTTATTTTTTGTTTCTTTGTTTATTTCTTGCTTCCTTCTCGCCCCCTCTCAGATGGACTTTCCTTAATTCATGGTCTAGCTGGCAACAAGGTCTATAGCATCATTTTATAAGAAATACCCAAGTATTTTTTTCTCATATTTCTCCACAATTACTACTGGAAACCATCATATCACTCTAAAGTTTAAGGAAAAGTTATTATCTACAAGGGGCTGCAGGTTATTCTTTATGTTTGCTATTACCTTTCAGTTATGGATACTACCAGAACTCAAAAGAAAACTTGCACAATTTTTTTTCAAACATATTTCTTCTTATTGCCTTGCAGAACTATGCAATAGACAGTGAAAGCACGAGACAAGGAGAGTCCAGGTTCTTCCTTCCCCTGTCATATATTTGTGTGCCACATTCTTATGGCAGCACCTCTCTAGTGATGTGACAAATTCCACTGAAAGTGATGAAAAGTCTCAGCTGCTGTTTTTAGGAATTCATGCATGCCTCCCAAGGCTCATTTTCCATCACTCCCAGAGCCAGCCAAAGGTTGCAAACTTCCAAAGAGCTGCTTCCAGCTCTTTGACAACAGGATTTATGCAAAAGCTCAGGTTGAATGACATGCTAAGCCATGGTGTAAGATCATGAAGATTAGGTAATAAACTACAATGTGATCCTGGCATGCTCAACAAGGTACTTTTTTATGGGTGAAATGCAAGAAGGAAGCCTCCATTTGCACTGGGCAGAAAAATTCTCCCAAATTTTCCTTTCTTTACTAGTTTCCATTCAGCTAAATGAAAGGGGATGTTTGCCTTTAAAATTCCTTTCAAAGAAGACAATACGGAATGTCCTTCTATTAAGTTCATGATAAAATTCTAAGGGGATGTTTACGATTAATTAAATAATATCTGTATGGAGAATCTGCACTCTCCCTTCCACACTCCTTCAATGCCAAAAGAACACATCATGGGGGGGAGAAATCCTCCCATTAAGCTTTTTAAGATTTCAGGGTATAAAAAAGTTTGGAAGGGCATCTGCTTGATTGGTAAACATTTAATAATAAAAAAAACAGAGTAATACTAGCTGTAGCATCTGTCATGATACCAAGTATGGAGTAAACTCCTAAATGTCATAAAGAGACATATCTGGGAGACAAAAAGCAACTATCTTGACAATAAGGTTAAGAAAGAGTGTGTTTCTCAAGAACAAATTTCTATACAGATAGTCCTCAACTTACAAAACCCAATTGAGCTCAAAATTGTTGTTGCTAAGTGAAATATTTGTTAAGTGAATTCTGCCCCATTTTATGGCTTTTCTTGCCACAGTTGTTGTGAATCATTGCAGTTGTTAAGTTGTTAAGTGAATACAGCTTTCCATTGACTTTGCTTGTCAGAAGGTTGCAAAAGGTGATCCCATGATCCCAGAACATTCAACTGTCATAAATATGAGTCAGTTCAAGTGTCTGAATTTTGATCATGTCACCATGAGGATGCAATGGTCGTAAATGTGGAAAAACAGTCATAAGACACTTTTTCCAGTGCTGCTGTAACTTTGAACAGTCACTAAATAAACTGTTGTAAGTAATGGACTACTTGTACAGTATTTCCATGTAGCTATTTATGAAGCATCTGAAATAAAGGAATAATTTTCTTATGTCAGGGATCATATATTGACATGTACTTCATCTTTTTTCACTCTTTTTGGCTTTCAGCAGTTTTTTTAAATTAGTTGTTGTGGTTCACTGCAAAAAGTTCCAGGTTGCACAAACCACAATTTGGTCTTTTGAGGTACAATAAGCCATTGTTAGCTTTAAAAAAGAAATAAATGCTTCCAAAGGCGTGATGGAGCAAGAGTGGGCAAAAAGAGCAGTTTTTTGCTGTCCATATGGAGGACCTGAAATGGATTTCAGAGATGCTCAGAAGCTAAATCAAAAAGTATGCTATGATAAACCGCAGTAGCCCATAATACAAATTATTATTACAGTATGGAATGTCCTATCCCAAAAATGTTAATATGCATTATATCTTCCAGAAAAGACTGAGAACTGTAGAAGTTCTTCAGCTATGGAGATCCATATCAATTGGTTTTCTAAAAAGTGAAGAAAAATGGAATACCTTCCCTGTCCTCTCTGGAAAAAGTGTGTGGGGAAAGGCCATCAGAGTCTGGATTCATAGATTAATTTGCTTAACTACAGACTTGCTGAAGTTTGTTCACACAACACCTAACCACAGACCATAGTTTATAAAGCAAAATGAATAAATGCCTACAAGTTGTTACTCTAAATCAGCAAATTATCTTTTGGCTTAGTGCAATCTATGAAGACAACTTGTTTGTGGCAAGGTAAGTTTTGACTGCCACTGAAGACAAGGCAGAAAAAGACACAAAACCATGGTTTCATGGCACAGTTTTCTAAAGTATGAAGTAGGAATATTATTTTCAGGAGAAAGCCCTCCTTGGTATTGTAACTAGTTCCTCTTTTGGTCACAAAATATAATACAGACAATGTGGTATATGATCATTACCTCCCTTTGAATTTTAGCAGAAGATTGGAATCAATGAGATTTTGCGTTTCAGTGTAACTCTTGAACTATGGACTTTTAGCTTTTACTTGAATTTTCTATATGTCATCTCAATCTTTCTGATATTTTTCCAGTGAATAAAATACCTTTGAGCAGTAGTCATGATGGCATCCACAACTTCAATGATTCTATGCAGGGCAGAATCTGTGCCAATAGTCATGTCTGTCCCACAGAAATCATTGTCAATGGACCCAACCATTCCCACTATGTTGAGGTAAGCATAGTTCTTTACAGCTTCTTCTTCAATCTCACCTGACCAAAAAGAAAAAAAAAGAAAAAGAAAAAGAAAGAAAACGAAGTAATAATATATCCAGAAGTACCCAAGAAGAATCCCTTCCCTCTGAGTCTCATCCTAGAACGACCTTAGTCTCAAGATATACATAATATCACTTTAGCATTGTATAGCCCTATAAGGACAAGAATATGAAAAGAAAGAAGTTAATTAGACCTTTAATTCAGAATATAAACTGTATGCTGTGTCTAGAAATTTCCTTTGGGCTGTTTTTAGGAAGGATAAAAAAATAGATTGGACGCCATAAATACCAGCCTCATTGAATATTCTCGGGAATGTCTGAGAAGCTGTATTTTTTTCAACATGGGTGTGAAAAATTTCAGGTAGCAGATCTGAATAAGACCTCTCTTCAAACTTTGGACAACCATTGTCCAATAGGAAGGAGGAGGAGGAGGGGGAGGGAGGAAGAGGGGTGGGGAGGGGAGAAGGAGAAAGGAGATGGGGCAGGAGAGAGGGAGGANAGGGGGTGGGCAGGGGAGAAGGAGAAAGAGGAGATGGGATAGCAGAGAGGGAGGAAGAGGGGGCGGAGGAGGGGAGAAGGAGAAAGAGGAGATGGGGCAGGAGAGAGGGAGGAAGAGGGGTCGGGGAGAGTGAGGAGGAGAGGGAGGGGGCAGGGGAGAGGAAGAAGGAGGAGAGAAGAGGGGGAGAGAGGGGCCATTTTAGATTTGTAGATAGGACTCTGCACATTTTACCATATTATTCGTGTTTAAATGAGAGTAGCTATGCTTTACCAAGAATGGCCCAATTGGTGAATCTGAGCCACTTCTATATGGCCCCTTACCCTTGCAATTTTAACCAAGAAATGGCAAATCACAGTTATTTCTCACTGTTCCATTCACAAGGAAAGGCAAATATTTCCTGAAGCCTAAAGGTAGCAACAAGCTCTTTCAGTTCTGAATGCTAGCTTCTACTACCTACATGGCGAAGCTTCACCAAAATGAGCACAGTTTTCAGAGAGGAAAAAAATATTCTTGTAGGCCGAAGACCTGAAGAACAAGAGAGCTTGCACAATCAGTACTGTAATGCTGGTTCAAATGCATCTTCGCAGTCATTTTTCTTACCACAAATAGAGGACGTTTTTCGGAATTGCCATTTTCATAACTGAGAGGCAAACAGGAAGCTTAGAAAAGAGAGAGAGAGCACGAAAAGGAAAACAAAATCTTCTGGCAACTTTCCTTTTCCTTTTCATGAGGTGAGATCTTGCACGTGCCTGTTTGGAACTCAACTACTGCAATAGTTTTCATGTGCAGAATATCACAGCTTATAAAAATAAGAAATAAAATGGGGGGGGATATGAAAGTGAGAAAAGATCTCTAGCAACTGGACAGTTTCATGTGCACAAGAACAAGCTTTGAGACATTTTGTGGGCTCTGGGTGTTAGATATGTTTATGATGGTTCCAGTATCAAGCGTTCAGCTTCCCCATTTCTTAACATCCATCCCAAAAATAGAAGTCAGCTAAAAATAACAGCAAAAGTAGCCAGTTCATGTCATGCTCTCCATCCTTCTTTGAACTGAAGAGTTCTGATACTGAGGCTGCCTCTCAAATCCTCTAAAGGATAAAATTACTGGCTCTAATTCATCCTCTTGACCTACTGTATTTACATTTTTCCTTGCTTCTCCTAGATTAGAAGGTGACTATTTTCACTCAAGAAAAGGAATCAGTTCCTAAAATACATGAATTGAAAGGGGTCCTTTAGGCCAACCCTAGATCTGAAAAAGCAATCCAAACTAATCCGTCTTTGTCCAGCTTCAATTGGTTATTGATATAAAAGGAGGGATCCACAACAGGAAACCTACAGTCCCCTCCAGATCTGACACTGGAAAAAGAACTCAAAAAAAAAAGAGGAAGTGGAGGCAGGGATAAATAGATCAGGTACACTGACTTTGTTTGGCTAACAAATAAAGTGGGGAGATTAGTTCATCTAAAGATTTCACAGATAAGATGCTGGGGATCAACTACATGTAATAAAGAGATTGACACAAGCGATCAGAGGACAAGAAGATTGGAATGGAATGGAATGGAATAGAACAGAATGGAATTAGAGACCAGTGACAACAGAAGCCCGGACAGAAGAAAACTGCAACAAATGAGGAAAGCATGGACCAGTGAAAGATGGAAGGGATGACTTCGTGCAATGTTGGAAGTGATCAGACTTGGCAATGGATTGAAAAACAATGAGGGGGTGAGGGGGAGTGAAAAGAGAAAGAGATAAAAGTCAAAGCTATGTATCTATTCACCAGGGTGGATGATGAATCGTTTATCAATGGATAAAGAAAATATTGCAGGAAGATGCATGAAAAATGTGCATAAAAGGAATTTAAAATGACTGCAAAGTACCCAAGCAGCAATATCAGAGAAGCAAATAACAGGAGCTGAGTAAGTAAAAGTGATTGTGTTACGAGCACTAGTACACAGTATGTTGACCACACTGTTGGCCACTTACTTCTTTGCCTCATTTGCAAGACGTGCTTCATTATCAATGAATCTATTCATTCATAAAAGCAAACAAAAGCAAGACATCAAGACAATGCTAGTACAGTTTACTGCATATGCCTTCAGCCAGGCAATTCAGGGACAAATTGCATGCTGTTCTGACAAGAGCGACCCATTTGAAGCACCTATGTCTGTGGCTCATACCGGAATTGTGGTTTATAAAGGATATCAATTAACTTCATCACCTTTTAAGAGCACAGAATCCCTCTGTGAGGGGGATGGGAAGTTCTAAAATATGATTAGATAGATAGATAGATAGATAGATAGATAGATAGATAGATAGATAGATAGATAGATAGATAGATAGATAGATAGATAGATAGATAGATAGATAGATAGATAGATAGATAGATAGACTGACCACTAATTATTTCCAGTGAAATTGAAATGCCGTGAAGCATTTCAGCACAGAAATGGAGGATGAGAAAAATTAACAGGAGGTAAAATTAAAGCCCAGAAAGAATTCATAATATTGCAGACAAAGAAACTATGTAGAGAAATGAGGTCAGCAAGATAGCTGAAAATCGGAACTGATAAAACTGATAAAAATACCCAAGCAGGAGATAATCTCTGGAAATATAGTTGTGATCTGTAAACAAAAAAACTTAAAGACCACAAGAAAACTGATGTATTTCCCCAAGGGGGAACAAAGATTACCAACACTAAAAGAAACATGTAAGTTTGCAGTTACACTTACTCTTAAGTGGGTACATAGCAACTCTATGCCCAACGGTGTTGGGATCCTATTTGTGAATCTCTCTGCGTGATAGACACAATTAACACAATTGCTCAGCCTCACATAGCTTCATATACACAGCTAGAACAATTAATCAATGGAATGACTTGCCTTCGGAAGTTGTGGGTGCTCCATCATTGGAGTCTTTCCAAAAGAGACTGGAATTGTATAGCAGGGGATTGAACTAGAAGACCTTCAAGGTCCCTTCCAACTCTGTCATTTGTTACAATGACATCTGCAAATCTAATTGTTTCATCCTGTCATGCTGCTATGTATTCGTGCAATACCAAAAGGTTTTTCATTATTCATTCATGTGAAAGACCAGGAGACCCAATCTGGCATAGGATGATGGCTCAAAGCATTCCACAGGGATGCTTCCAGAGTCCAACTTTTTCATTCCCTCCACCTTATCCATTGTCTTCGTTTTCCAGACTCAGAATATGCCTGAATTCCAAACAGCTGAATTTGGGATCTTCTGCAAACAAACCGGGTCTCCAACCACCAAGGAAGGAATCTTCTTAGGATATCTGTTCTATACTGACTAGATATACCAGCTGTCACTAGTTTAAATTGCTTTAAGTCACAACTTGGGTTGAAAATATGGAGCTTAGGAACCACTGCTAGATTCTCATGATTGGACAGTATCAGCACTTTGGGAAATGAAGTAATAGTATGGAAAATGCAGGTAATCCTTGAATTATGACCATAATGGAGCCTGTCTATCACAATCATCACTCATGGCTATAAAGCAACGCAGTCATGGGGCCAACCTGATTTCACAATCTTTTTTGCAGGTGGTGGCTAAGCAAACATGGTGGTCGTAAAGCACGAATGCAACAGTCATTAAGCAAGCCAATGGTTTGCTATGGGTGTGATTTTGCCAAAAATTGAAAATGAATGCCACTTTTCAGGAAAACCACCATAAAATGTGGACATGTGACTGCAGGACACTGCAAATGGCCGTAAATGCAGTCCAGAGGCCAAGCACTGAAGTGCAGTCATGTGATCAGTGGGTGGGCCGTGAGAATATGAGGACATCAAATCCAGGTTGTAAGTACCCCCCCAAGTAGCCCCATTAGAATTCCAAACGGTTGCTAAGTAACCACTTGTAAGTTGATCACTACCTAGAGGTGTTCTTGTGGCATACATTGGTGATTCAGTGCTTTGACAGCCACAAGATAACCTACCATTTCTTGCCAACTCCTCTAACAGGCCATTCCACTCTCCCCGAAAGAGATTAGCACCGGTTAAGCTGCCATCTCCCCCAATCACACAAAGGTTTGTGATTCCTCGCTTCACCAGATTGCAGGCTGCTTTCAAACGGCCTTCGCGAGTCCGAAAAGCTTTACAGCGAGCGCTGCCAATAACAGTTCCCCCCTAAAAGACAGAAGGAAAAGTGCAGCTGAGAAAAATAGATCTCGTTTCAGTGCCCGTAAATCATCCATAAGCCCATTGGAATAGGAAAAAAAAAATCTTTATATTACTAAATATAGGCAGATAATAAAAGTTGCTTACAATATGTGTGATAGCCTTTCACAACTAGCACCCTCCCTCCAAAGATGCAGAAATTACACCTCCCACAATAGCCAGGCATGGCACTCATCTTAATCCATATCACACGTATATTACAAAGCTACGTGGAATTTCTATTTTCAAAAATGAAAATATCTGCTGTTGTTCCACTTTCCTGGCTTTGTTGAACTTACTATTCTCTTCTACCACACCCTCAGAATGTCCTGTAGATGTGTAAACACAGTAAGATTAAAGAGGCAGGAGGAAATTTGAGTGCTGGCCAAATCTTGTGAAACAGAGAATCTGTATTGTGTATGATTGCAATATGGCCATTTCCTTTTATCAAATGCTTAATCACAGGTATTGTGCTGTCACCTGCCCATAGAGGTGAAACAAAATTTGTTTGCACTGTTGGAAGACCTGAAAGACCAGGTTAGGGACAGATCATCATGGAGAAAATATATCCATGTGGTTATTAAGAGTCAACACCAACTTGATGGTCCATAATCAATCAAACACTATACCAGCACAAAAGAAAATAGTTATATAAGTTGAAAACATTGCAGTTTTTCAAGATATTGTACTGATTCCTCAGTAGGCAGAAAAGAGCCATGGAACTGATATTCAACAGCAGCACCCTCAATCCAAAAGCAGTTTATAAAAAAAAAACCAGCATAACAAAGCTTTGTAATGGGTCCCATGACTAGACAAATGAAAAGCAGCATACAAAAACACCAGACTCAAGACTTGGTGCACAGCTTCTGGTGCAAGCACACTGGAAAAACTGGAGAGTAGCAAAAAACAAGAATGTCAGTAAGTCTTAATATCTATGAAGATTCTCAGTCATCCAGGTCATGGTTGCCTCAAAGATTCCTTTTCAAAAAGCAACGGGACTACTCGTTCTTTGAGGAGGAGGAAGAAGAAAAAGTTTTGCTTCTCATCCAAGAAGCTTCATTAATTCAACCAATAAAGCTTCTTGGGTGAGAAGCAAAACTACTATTACTATTACTATTACTACTACTAGTAGTAGTAGTAGTAGTAATACTACTTCTATAGTTTTTCTTCTTCTTCTTCTTCTTCTTCTTCTTCTTCTTCTTCTTCTTCTTCTTCTTCTTCTTCTTCTTCTTCTTCTTCTTCCTCCTCCTCCTCCTCTCCTTCTCCTTCTCCTTCTCCTTCTTCCTCATGGAAAAAACAGTCCAATTGCCTTTTGAAAAAGCACCTTTGAGTCAATTAGTCTTCTTGATCATTCAAATATGTACATTACTTTATCTCTAGCTTCAGTCTTTTGGGAATGATTTAGTACATTATCAGGTAAATATCTTATTAACATTCTCCTTAATTTGGTACCTACCACTTGGAGGATACTTGAAACACTCTCCCATGTAACTTCAACAATATTTTCACCCCCATCAACCATACCTTGGTATCCCTGTGGGGGAAAAACAGTTTATATGAGAGAGAGGGAGGGAAGGAAGGAGGAAGAGGGAGAGAATATATAAAACACGCAAGGAGAACTTCCCCCCCCCCCCAGATAATGAAATTTTAAGATTACACTCTAGAAATGCAAGCAAGTACATGAACAGGAAAAATCTCAGAGAACTGTGAATTTCCTTTGCTGTCAATCACGTTCAACCATCTTTGACTCATCTTGAAAAGCACTAGGCAGGATCAGACTTCTATTGCATAGCTGCTATAGGTTAATTGTATCATTGCCAAAAAAAACCTACGTGGACACATCCATTGCTGTCAGCAGGGTTAAGCCTAACATTTTTGGTTTTCTTTTATTAAAAGCTAACATAATCAATAGTATTAAACAGTGCAAACATTAATAAAATCTTCAGTGCTTATACTGAAGTTCCGATCCCTGAAACTACTAATTTAACTGGGCAACTGCAGCTCATTAGAAGAGCTTTGGCCTGTTACTAGGAGACAAAATGCCAACATTAAGGTTGTATCTAGGGCTCCCAGTGGTACAGGCAGGCAGCTACATGCTGTGTTACATAAAATATTTGAAGTGTGTTTGTGTGTGCGTGCATGCTTGCACTCACCAACATTCTAAATTAAATGCCAAATGTCTACCAACACTGATAGAATCTTATGTAAAGCAGGAAATGTTGCAACAGGTTTCCCATTTTAGCCGTAAGTCTGTAACTACTAAAGAGCAGGAATTCATATAACTCAACAGAGAAAGATGGAATAGAGTAAGATTAGGGGCAAGTGTAATCATGGAAGAAAAATGTGACTTTTATTATTAAACCTGTATTTGCAAACTAGACATCCGGCATGTATGCCTTGCCTGGGTAACCCCAGGAATGCCTAATATCAGGCCAAGATAGGCAGATTTTGTTACATTATCCACTTGCATATTTATGCTCTACTGTAGACAGACGCCATGTGATCAGTACGACCTAGAACAAAGGAGAAATTTCCTGGCAGTGAAAACAATTAATCAGTGGAGCAGCTTGCCTTCAGAAGTTGTGGGTGCTTCTCATTTGGGGTTTTTAAGAAGAGATTTCAGACAGCCATTTGTCTGAAACGGTATAGGGTCTTCTCACTTGAGAAGGGTTGAACTAGAAGACCCCCAAGGTCCCTTCCAATTCTGTTACTGTATTCTGTCCTGTTCCTATTCCTATTCCTATTCCTATTCCTATTCCTATTCCTATTCCTATTCCTATTCCTATTCCTATTCCTATTCCTATTCTATTCCATTCCATTCCATTTCATTTCACTCCACTCCATTCTATTATATTATATTGCCATTGTACTCAAGATATAGATATGGAATGGGGAATCATCTGTCCTTTGCTAAGAAGCTTCTATATTACAGTAACAATTTGTCCAATTATGTTCCAGTATGTACAATGACTTCTCCTTGACATCAAAAATCATGCATTACAGGGCACGATATCTCTTATTCCTTTTTTTTCCAGTTAATGAAACAATCGAGGTGAACCAAAATCATTAGAGCCTGTTCCTCAAGAGGCATTTGTTTTTTTGGTCTCTACCTTATGTTCTGAAATGGGGGAAAGAGCATTTTAACATCTGCACCTCTGTGTTAGTCATAATGCCTTAACCTTCAGCTCCTTTCCCAAAATCAAATAGCATTAAAACTTCTGAATTTGAAGCTCAGATGTTTCTAACATCACCTGGGTACACCCTATTTAATGGAGAGCTGGCACATTTAATAAAGTACAGGTAATCCTTGACTTACAACCATTTGTTAAGTACCATTTGAAGTTACAGCAGGACTGAAAAAAGAGACGCATGACTGTTTTTCACACTGAATGACTGTTGCAATATCCCCATGTCACACGATTAAAATCCGGTTGCTTGGCAACATTTATGACGATTGCTGTGCCCCAGGGTCATGTGATCACCTTTTGCGACCTTCTGACAAGCCAAGTCAATGGGGAAGCCAGATTCACTTAATAACCGTGTTGCTGACTTAACAACTGCAGTGATTCACTTAACAACCGTGTCACAAAATGTCATAAAATGGAGCAAAACTCAATAACTGTTTTGCTTAGCAACAGAAATTTTGGGCTTAATTCCAAGGACTACTTGTATTGCTTGAAGAGATGCATATAGCTTTACAACATAGGATTAACTGTTCTATTGGGCTTTCCTTGCCAAATCACTTATTTAAAAATATAAATAAATCACCGTCCCCTACTTTCCCAGGGGTTTAAAAGAGGCGAGGGAAACATGGGATCTATCCAGAAGAAAGATGGATATGTTTGAACCTTTTTAAGGTTAAAGGTTAACAATCTACTAACTCATTAATCAAATGTAATACAATCTAAGTGCTGCTGCCTAAAATAAACCATCGTAAATCAGCTTTGGGACACAGCAATATGGTTGGGAAATTGCCATAGAAAATCAGGTACTATTGAGTCACTGAGAACAGGGAAGTTGCCCAGGTGTGATGGAGAGAGTAAAATAAGAGGAATATGTTTTCAGCCTTGCAGTTTCCTGAGATGCTTTGACCACGGACAGCTTCATCACAGGGTTAACTACCATTTCAAAAGCCCTCCTTTTTCTCACATATAGTTGTCTAAATCTAACTTTCAGAAAAAGTATTCACAGCAGAAAAGTGCCATTTCAGCTGACTTCTAGCCACTGTTCTCCAATTTCATCCTTTCCAACTGAGCTGGGATCCAACTGAGCTTCCAGTCTTCCCATTCAAAAATTCCAGCTATCAATTCTAGGAACTTCAGTCTCAGGCTACAAGCTGGGCAAGGCTGTTAGGAATAAAGGCCTGTTTTCTATGACACACTTTGGTATCTTAAAGCACTGGAATCAGAGCGATAACACAATCTTTTACTGGAAGAAAGATATCCATGCTGAGTTCTGCTTGCTAAATACCAAACTTAGCATGCATTGCACTGACCGAGAGCAGACACAAAAGAGCTATCAGAATAGCAGTTTGGCTGACAAAGGGGGGGGGGGGTTCCACTTTCCCACAACCTCAGAGCACATATAATTGCTTGGGAAAATATGTCAAACTGTAGCAGAGGGGTGAGGGTGGGAGAAGAGAGGGAGAAGCCATTAGCTGAATAAAGATGAGGGACTTAGCACTCACTCACTACCCCAAACATATAAAACAATTCCAGCACCATCATCTGTCCTATCTGGCAGAAAAACAAAAGCAACAATTAACCTGGATTAGATTGCACTGTATTGCATAGTAAACCCAAGCTGAGATTTTAGTGGACAATTACATCAGCTTCCTTCTAAGTGACATTCTCTAAATGGGTGTAGATGGGTGTATCACACCTTCTATGATTCTCAGCCAACAGTGACTTTCAGAGTACAAGTATTTCTCAATTTACAACCATTTGTTTAGTGATTGTTCAAAGTTACGACAGCACTGGAAAAAAGTGACTTATGACCACTTTTCATAGTTACGACCTTTGCAGCATCCCCATGATTATGAGATCAAAATTCAGGTGCTTGATTCATAGTTATGACCGTTGCTTATCTTTTGTGACAAGGAAAGTCAATGGGGAAGCCAGATTCACTTAACAACCGTGTTACTAACTTAACAACTGAAGTGATGGACCTAACAACTGTGACAAGAAAGGTTGTAAAAGGGGGCAAAACTCACTTAACAAATGTCTCACTTAACAACTGAAATGTTGGGCTCAATTGTGGTCTGAAGTCAAGGACTGCCTGTACAACATGAAATTCTCTACCGTCCAGTCAGGATCAACTTTGAAATTGTGAGGTGCAATTGTGAGTATACACAAATGCAAATCAAATATGTTTCTGTTGTGTTTGGGGTCATTCTGAAGCAAAATAAGGATGAAATGATTTCAACCACAGATTAACATTTTGGACAGGTAAAGTTATGGCCTCAGTCCACAAATTTGCCAAAACCACGATCAGTCAATTTTTCAATACAAATAAGAGAGAAGACATCTAAACACTGTGAGGTCCTTGGTGCTCTCTGAGCTTGGTGGTTTTCTTGCAGTTTCATTTCCAAACTAGTAACACCACTAGCATTGATGATATTACGTAATCTATATAAATAAAAATGTAAATGTTCGTTTGTTCAAAATCTTAAATCTCCGAAAGTTCTTCACCGATTGCTTTGAAATTTTGACACAACGTTGCATTCAAATACGTGCGTGTTTTTATATACCTACTATTATATAGATGTCACACCTGTGACACAAACGTGCGCTTTCTCTTTTCTTTCTTTTCCATTTAACCAGACTGAGCCACAGCAACGCGTGGCCGGGTACAGCTAGTTGGTTAATAAAATGTCTGCAAGAAAACCACCAAGCCCAGGGAGTACCAAGGACCACATAGTTTAACCCTGAGCTACAAATATCAATGTAAACACTATCCACTGGTATACCAGGCACTTTAACGGATCTCCCCTTCTCTTCAATTCCATGCTGTCTCGATAATGAAACAGCAAACCTCACCCAAACTTTCCACTGTTAATCGGGGAGAACTAGCCAAGAACCTCCTCAGTTCTTAAATCAGGGCTGACAATGAACAGCCTTGCCTCCATTACTTCTTCATTTTGAAGTAAGTGAGGAGAAAATGGAAAAGAAACCAATAAAAAGTCTGCTCCTCTTAAGCAAAACTGCTCAAAAGTTGTGAACTGAAGAAAAACTTTCAGCTCTATCATGCTGTACTGAACAAATAGCCAGTTGCCCTGGCAATAACACAAAGGATTGAGAAACACAGCAAGGATTTGCAGAGCTGTTCTTCGATAAAAGAATTACAGTAAAAAGTATAAAAATATTAAGCAGGAAGGAAGGCGCAAAGGACTAGAATTCAGGGGTAGTCAACCTTGGCTCTTTTATGACTCGTGGACTTCAACTCCCAGAATTCCTGCTGGCTCAGGAATTCTGGGAATTGAAGTCCACGAGTCATAAAAGAGCCAAGATTGACTACCCCTGGACTAGATGGACA